GGTAGGTAGTTATAGGTACAAACATTACTGAGGACACAGACCCGAGTCTCTCGTGATGAGGTAGAGGTCACTAGTACAAGGGTATCACATGATAAGGTAGGTAGTTATAGGTACAAACATTACTGAGGACACAGACAAAGCTCTTGCACAATCAGTAGCCAAATCAATCTGTCAGTTTGATCCTCATGTCGTATATATATAACAAATATGTGTGTGTACGCTGACAGTGTTCTCAACTTGTACATATTTTATACCTTTGTTTACATATGCTTCACTGGTCATTTGTCTGATGAAGGTGACAGGGTTCGTATTGTACCAGTCATCTAGACGTCATACATTAACCTTCCTCCAGTCATTTGTCTGATGAAGGTGACAGGGTACGTATTGTACCAGTCATCTAGACGTCACATATTAACCTTCCTCCAGTCATTTGTCTGACGAAGGTGACAGGGTACGTATTGCACAGTCATCTAGACGTCGCATGTTAACCTTCCTCCAGTCATTTGTCTGATGAAGGTGACAGGGTACATATTGTACCAGTCATCTAGACGTCACATATTAACCTTCCTCCAGTCACTTGTCTGATGAAGGTGACGGGGTACGTATTGTACCAGGCATCTAGACGTCACATATTAACCTTCCTCCAGTCACTTGTCTGATGAAGGTGACGGGGTACGTATTGTACCAGTCATCTAGATGTCACATATTAACCTTCCTCCAGTCATTTGTCTGACGAAGGTGACAGGGAACGTATTGCACAGTCATCTAGACGTCGCATGTTAACCTTCCTCCAGTCATTTGTCTGATGAATGTGACAGGGTACGTATTGTACCAGTCATCTAGACGTCATACATTAACCTTCCTCCAGTCATTTGTCTGATGAAGGTCACAGGGTACGTATTGTACCAGTCATCTAGACGTCACATATTAACCTTCCTCCAGTCACTTGTCTGATGAAGGTGACGGGGTACGTATTGTACCAGGCATCTAGACGTCACATATTAACCTTCCTCCAGTCATTGGTCTGATGAAGGTGACAGGGTACATATTGTACCAGTCATCTAGACGTCACATATTAACCTTCCTCCAGTCGTTTGTCTGATGAAGGTGACAGGGTACGTATTGTCCCAGTCATCTAGACGTCACCTATTAACCTTCCTCAAGTCATTTGTCTGATGAAGGTGACAGGGTACGTATTGTACCGGTCATCTAGACGTCACCTATTAACCTTCCTCCAGTCATTTGTCTGATGAAGTACCAGTCATCTAGACGTCACATATTAACCTTCCTCCAGTCATTGGTCTGATGAAGGTGACAGGGTACATATTGTACCAGTCATCTAGACGTCACATATTAACCTTCCTCCAGTCGTTTGTCTGATGAAGGTGACAGGGTACGTATTGTACCGGTCATCTAGACGTCACCTATTAACCTTCCTCCAGTCATTTGTCTGATGAAGGTGACGGGGTACGTATTGTACCAGGCATCTAGACGTCACATATTAACCTTCCTCCAGTCGTTTGTCTGATGAAGGTGACAGGGTACGTATTGTACCAGTAATCTAGACGTCACACATTAACCTTCCTCCAGTCATTTGTCTGATGAAGTACCAGTCATCTAGACGTCACATATTAACCTTCCTCCAGTCACTTGTCTGATGAAGGTGACGGGGTACGTATTGTACCAGGCATCTAGACGTCACATATTAACCTTCCTCCAGTCATTTGTCTGGCGAAGGTGACAGGGTACGTATTGCACAGTCATCTAGACGTCGCACGTTAACCTTCCTCCAGTCATTTGTCTGATGAAGGTCACAGGGTACGTATTGTACCAGTCATCTAGACGTCACATATTAACCTTCCTCCAGTCATTGGTCTGATGAAGGTGACAGGGTACATATTGTACCAGTCATCTAGACGTCACATATTAACCTTCCTCCAGTCACTTGTCTGATGAAGGTGACGGGGTACGTATTGTACCAGGCATCTAGACGTCACATATTAACCTTCCTCCAGTCATTGGTCTGATGAAGGTGACAGGGTACATATTGTACCAGTCATCTAGACGTCACATATTAACCTTCCTCCAGTCGTTTGTCTGATGAAGGTGACAGGGTACGTATTGTACCAGTCATCTAGACGTCACACACTAACAGTCCTGGTTGTGCTATACAAACCTTTATACAATCCATACTTGCCAATCCAAAGAAAAACGTTTAGATGGGGTCGAGGTGGCTAAGTGGTTAAGGCCTCTGACATTCTGCTACCACTTGTCCTCCACCACTGGGTTGCAGGTTCGAGACCTATGTGGGGCAGTTGTCTGGTACTAGCCATAGGTCGGTGGTTTTTCTCCAGGAACTCCGGTTTTCCTTCACCACCAAAACCTGGCACTTCCTTAAATGACCAAAGCTGTTAATAGGACATGAAACACAAACAAACCAAACAAACCAAACAAAAACGTTTAGAGAAAGAGGTTGTATGTTGGGCCATAACTTCACTAGATTGCGAGAATCTAGCAGCATTGTTGAGGAAGCAGATTTTAGGGCATCACTGATCTAAGAGAAAAGCTGCAGCAGAAATCAAATTTAAGGGAGCTAATATTTTATGTCTGTTGTATCATTAAACAAAATATATTCAAAGCAGTCTTTGGCTAAAGAATTTAGTGACACAATTCATTATGTCGTAGATAAACTGTTGGTATTTTTACATCATTTATCAACATTAAGTAAATGTGGAACCAAAACTTTTGCATCAGTTTTTTGATGATATTGTTTTTCGTATTGACAGAGGCGTACTGAGGGACAAGCTGAGAGGGAAACCGTAGCACCTAGTCAGTCAGCTGAGAAAGATTTTGCTATCATGCAGCTGAAGAGAGATTTACGGCAAGCTGAGCAGCGTATTGAGGAAATGCAGCTAGAGGTAGGCATCCATTAACTTTCTGTTGTGTGTCGGGGGGG